CTCCACAGTCAAGGTTGTTGCCATGTCCTTTTGTGCATACATCAAAATCGGCCAATAGCTGGCTCAAGATTTCCGGCGCTTGCTTTGTGCTGGAGTTTACTGTTAATGTCGTGTGTAACATTGCATTATGATGGATTTGAAATAAAACACCTAAGTTTGTCCAAAAGCACTGTTTGTATGGTCCCACAGAACGATACACAAGCGGTTTTTGCATTTGGAACGCATCAACTACATAGTTTACGTGAAAAGACTTCGATGTCACCTTTTGAACCGAAATTACTGTGCAGCGAACCTCATGCAATAAAGTTAATTCAGCATACAGATTTAGAAAACGCGGTGTATCTTGTAACGTATGATGGAAATTTTCTTCGCATTAGGAGGTCGAATGTGGGATTACTTGACAATATGTAGCTCGAGAATCGTTAAACATTGTTTTTAGAAACTGCATCTGCATTGCACAGATGCCTTTGGACGCTGTATCATCAATTGATTTGGACGTTCATGTAACAAATTGTGTTGTTGCTTCGCTGTGTCGGCTTTTGTTAGTAAGGTTAAACTTGTTCTTTTTCGTAAACTTTTTTATGTAGTATAAATTAAACACCCAGGAGGAACCCCGTACTGTGGGGATGCATGGTTGTACTGTCAGTTCGGTCAAGTTTCTTTCGGCGCAGTTGGTTGGGTCTGTGGATGAATCAAACGTGCTCAAAATTTGGAACCTAGAAACGTGTGATTTGCTCATCTCCTTTTCTTTGAGTGGCATGTCCACCTTCGTTCATTCAAGAGGTTTTATTTTTTACGGTACAGCTGATGGGCAGGTATAGTTGTTTTTTACTTTTACGTTTAGATATACTCTTTTTCAATCAGTTTTCTGAATGGTCCTCCCCAATATATTTCGTCTGTGCCGAAATTAAGGGGAAAGTCGCCAGCACCGGAAGCCGCTTTTTCACAGTTGGGTAACATTGCGCCTTTCTTCATGAAGTCATAGGTTCGTCCAGGCGTAAGTGGGATATTACAAAGACACTGAGTAGCTTGTCTATCTCTGATAATGTGGCATCTGAAATTTTGTCCCTCAGCATTTGTCCTTCGAATAGGTAAGTAACGTTTTATTCTTTTCTATATGCACTTGATCAATCATAACTTATGTTTTGAATCTATTCAGACATTTTGAATGCCAATTTTAACTGTAAAACTGTGCTTCATTTTTTGTTAAGCGACAGATTTATTTCCAAAATGGCATCAGTTACATTTAAGAACAAAAATGATTATCTCCAGAATATTCAGCAAAGGTTATAAAACCATGAAACCCTTTTTGTTCAGAATAAACCTTTTAATATTATACACTTCAAGCATAGCTATGGGGAGAATTTTTGAATGATCAGAACTTATAAAAATAAAGGCTATTCTCTTCTTTGAGAAAGATAATTTTGCGCTGTTAAGATTCTCCTCGCAGGTCTATTTTTCTCTACCCTTCGCCTCTATTTATATGTTATTTATAGTTTTGTTTATTCTTTTGTCTAGTAAGAGTTTGTGTTTTAATACTGTTGTTATTAAAAAGAACTTGTATGAGTATACATTAATTCCTCTTGCTAAATGTTCTTGGACACCTTTTTCGATTCACTCCTTATCTACTTTTTCTTGTAGAATATGCGTCGTGACTGCCTCTGCGATCTACATTTTTGATCAGCGGACTCGGCGTTTTGATGTGGCCTCTTTACTGAGTGATCTCCCTCTGTCAAACTGGTACTATGCAACGGCTGCCAACGCCTGTCTTTCTACGGTGTGCACTTTCTTTGCATGGTTTAGTGATTTTGTTCATATCTTTTATGATACCAGCCCTCCCTAACACCAGTGAACAAATCAAACTACTTGGTTTTCAGAAATATATTCTACTTGGACTATGGTCGGTCAACAAAAGACTGATTTTGCTATCCGTCGATGTAGCAGCATTGTCCGGGTTGGATCGCGACCCACTTACTCCGTCGCTCGAAACATGTGACGGCAGTTTGAAGCTATCATTTTTAGCTTCGTAAGTGGCACTTTTATTATTTGTTCAAAAAACCCAAATTCATCTAACTTAAGTCCTACCAGTGGTTTCATTAAGGTCGAAGAAATTGCTCATTTTCCGATTTAGAAACTGCGGTGTTCAAATGAACACTCACAACCTTTCCACTGTGCCGTTGTATTATCGACCGTTTATGCTAAGATAAAAAAACGGAAAAAGCCATCCTCGGAAGATTTCAGGAGATGGGGCACTTTATCAAATATTCTTATTCAGCTTCCGGTCAACATGCGACTTTTAATTAGGTGCCTTGGTGTTCATGGGTGTTTCTAACCACTGCGTGCGAATAAAATGTTAAACCTTTTCAGAACACGTGAAAAGCCTTATTTTTCCATCACTAATGTCTGGTCTCTTAATCTTGGCATCAAATAATGACATGTAAATAGCGCAATAAAACCATTATCATGGATAAAGACCTTCCTCTATTTTCGTGTTAATTATTTGACACCCTTTGTCCCCCTTAAGGAATCATGCACCTATACTGAGTACGTTTATTGAGTTGAAAGAACGAGAATCATAGTAATGCATCTCGTGTTGCTTGTATCCAATGTGGGAAATGATGTCAGATGATGCTGAACTTTGATTGGAATTCAATTCATAAGGTCCCAATGACTTAATTTTTTAGCTATAGTTGGAACCATGTGTGAGGATATATGAAAATACCACCCATTTGTATCCGTCACCAAAGGTAAATCTCACAACTTTAACGCGTCTGGCTTCTAAATGTTGGCGTTGTCTTGTTATCGTTTTAGTACGTGCGAATTCATTGCGCATTCCAAATAGCTTATTTTGAATCGCCCTCCCTAAGACCCAGCCTTTAATCGAACTCCAATAAATTAAATTGCACACATTACAGACGAATACCCTAGCGAAGAAGCTGATTCGCGGGATTGGGTTATTGCAATAAGGGTCGATGGTTGCGTTTTTTCGCCTTAGGACATTACAAGCATCTACAAATATGGACTCTCATTCCAGGGAAGTTTCTTTTTTGTGCATTTTAGGTCTCCTGTGGATGATTCGACTTTTATGAGAAAGGTACTTGCAACGCTGAACGCACTACCAAGCTTCGGGCAATCTCCGGCTGCTGTGACTAAATCAAAGCGACGATATGTGGGATTTCGAGGGGATTCTCGAAGTCCCCGTGTTGACCAGCCGGTCACCTTTGGACATCGTATCAAGTCGTCTGGGTATGCAGCCCAGTGTAAAAAGTAAGAATTTGGATCATACCTTCTTAGAATGTTTTTCTTAAACTTTCTCCGCTATCTTGTTGATCCTTTTAGGGTTGTTATGTTCAAACCTCAAACTAATAATCAAAAGCCAAAGAAATCTGGGCAACGTTCTGAGAATCGGTAAAAAGATATTTGATTTGTTTGTACAGAAGGTCTTCATTAAAGAATCACTGTTTTATCCCATTTTTTCCCGGATTTTAACTTGACAACAAGAAAAAGACTAGCTCAATCACATGTTAGTGATGACAAAATGTGCTTCTTCAAATATTTTGGAATAATTGACATAAATTGACGTCAAAGTGTACAAGGTTATCTTTTGGCAGTCCCTTAGTAGTGTCGACTCCCTGTGTTGGCTTCAAAACTTTAGCATACAGAAGGGGAAACGAATTTATACACATGACCAGACTACGAATAAAAAGGAAAAACCAGTGGACGATGTGACAGTGGTCTTCAAAACTTGTTTTAACTCCTCTTAACGTGAATTCTATTTTGCAGTTTGAGTAGCAGATTTTACATTATGTTCGAATTTGTAGGTTGCAAAATAAACTGTGTGCCTATGCAACCAACCCTGAACCACCCTTTTGCTGGTTGACTTCCGAACGCATTGAGGCTCAAGACACGCCGATATTTTCAATTTCCTACTCAGGTAATATATTTGCCCTTTTAATTAGCGCTATGAAGCGTAATAAGTAATGCAAGTGTAAACTTAATTCTTTGAATTCTAAATTTCTGTGTTTTTGTGCGTTTTTCCTGAACACTTCACCAGCACTTTGATTTCCCTTGGAAAAAATGTAGCTTTTAAAAAACAAAATCTCTTCATGAATCTCCCCTCTACCTCATATTCATTAGCAAAGTAACAATTCGTAAATGCTGAAACACTAACCTGAAAATTTGGGTCATTCACTTGTGAAGTGATACGGTGCGTATGAAGGACGTGACAGGGTCTTGTGGATTGTGTCGTTCAGCTTGGCAAAGTTAATTGTGCCATCTGGGGTCTCACGGATTCTCGTCGTTCATTTCGACAAGATTTCTGTTCATTTCACCAAACTATGTGTCCACAGCTTAAGAATAAACAGTGAATGACCCCTCGTTTGGTACACTAGACTGCCACCACAAGTCGTTCGCCATGCATAAGTGGCCTTGTTTTGTGTCACCATTGACGACGGCGTCGCGCACACCTGCCTTGGACCGTTCATGCTCTATCGGGGGACGGCCTCCTCCGCACATCCAGAAGCTATTCGCCGCGTCCAAGGCACATGGCCAAGGCGCCGTCTCAATGGAGAGCTCCAGCAGCTGTTTCATCTAACCGAGTCCCGCTGCGTTGTAGACGGCTGTTTGTTGTTCGGAGAACGTGCTCATAGAAATGCCTATTTGTGCCTTCAAATATGCTAGCAACTGGTGATCGCCTTGCAGTGGCACAAGGGAACGGTGTCTGTTCAGTGTACCGGGCCGACACACTGACTAGGACGGGTGACTCAGGGAAGTCCAAGTCCTCGATGACCCTAGCAGGCCACCATGGCATAGTTTCAAGTGTGGAGTGGTCCCTCAACGGTCGTTTTATCTTGACCTCCTCGACGGATAAAAGCGCACGCCTGTGGACCGCGAATGGAGGCGCTCTCCGACTTATCGTTTCATCACCATCTGGTGGTTGTGCCAATGGTTTGGGGCACCCAGTTCACACTGCCTCAGTCACCTCCGCAGCGTCAAAGGTAAGATCGGTCTTGTATGTGAAATGCCATAGTTGGCCAAATGCTGTTTTGTGATTTGCCTTGACACTGTTGCAAATCCAGATTTCTTTGCTGTTGCATCGGATTCAGATTGTCTTTCGCAATGAAACTTCGGTTTTAAAGTTTTTTCCCCCATCTCTACCCTCTGTTACAACCTCACAAAATGGATCTAATCGCAGGCCTGTTCTGCTTCGATTCGCATCCTCGACCCCTCACTTCTGTCTGTACACCAACTAGGTAGGGTTGATGTACTGGTGGTTTTAAGTACTTACAGCAGAGAACGTGTTATGTTAGTGCACTAATTAAAGACGTGAATTTGTATTTCTAATAGTCAGTGGCAAATATTTACCATGAAGCCAAAACCCCCTGCATTCATAAGTACTGCGAGTTTCCCTTACGAAAACTGGAAACTTAATCACGAAATCCCCAAAAATCCTAAATGTTACTTCTCAATTTTTTCCTGTTTTTTTTCTACTTAACCTGACGTACCTTTAATTCTTAATTTCAAACAGTTATGCATTTCAAGTTTACTATTTTTTGGGTCGTAAGGTCCCCTCTGAGTTCGCTGATCATGTTCAATTTGGGAGGTTTCATCTTCAAGACAGTCTCTTCCACGTTACCTGTCGCAATGAACTGTTCTTTTTCACCTTCAAGGTCGACACAAATGTCGATATTCTCCAAAAGTAGGTTCGCTTTCTTGTATTTCACCCAAAAGTAATTTTTACTCACAAATCAAGAGAGACCACCCTGTGATTATGCACTCAATAGTGTGTGGTGATGGGCCTAAACTATAGAAAACACTTGGGATCGACATCACAGCGCTATTTTCCAAATTGTGACTCCATGACACTCAGCGTCCACTACTTCCCGTTAGCGGTGCAGCACAAAAAATCAAATAAAATCCGTTGCATTAGTTTTCACCTCAGATTTTCCGTTTATGTACCTCCTATACAGTTCATTGAATTTTTATAGCGAATTTACAAAGAGACCTTTTGCTGCCTAGGCTTAGTTACCTGTCGCGGTCACCAACTGTTGAGTGCCCCAGAATGTGGTCTTGAACCACAATCTGGGGCCGTTGTGTTGAATTGGCCCGAATAATCTGCACTGACACCCACGAAGATCAACTTGAGGACCAGACGGCAGCCACAGCAGTTTTCTAATTATCTCAACCTAGTTGTGTCTGTCGCGCCACTGCGCACAAAAAGTCGTGTCTGAATAACGGGGATTATTGGCCAATGCAGTCTGAGTGAGCCTGTAAGAGTACAGGTGGCTGAACAGTTTGATGAATGGAACGAGTAGCATGGGGGGAGGAGATGCACAGGGGTGTATGGTCAGGCGATTTCTCATGTCCAGTGGCGACACCGTGACAGGGAGGTCAACATGGCGGAGAACGCGACGACCTGGTTAATGGACATGAATCAGTATATTTCACTACAAACCCATCATCTGATTTGGCCCTACTCACATCAACTAAAGTGGACAGTACCATTACTAATGACTTTCAGGTCTTGCTATTGAAGCCATGAATCGAACTTCTTAATTTAACATGCTGCTGTCCTAACAAGTGGAAACTCTTACCAAATATCATCAATTCTTTACCTGTAAACCGCTCTGATTCACAAAAACTGGGAAGTCTGGTAAAGTGCTTGGCTTTTCATGTGAATAAACGCACATAAGATCTGGTGATGTCAGAAGACGTTCAGGATAACTGTTACCATTGTCTGTCTATGGGACTCTGTGGTAAAGAAAAGTAAAATTAAACTACGTCAAAATCGCACAAATGATTACGAGAAATTTGAAGGCCTAAAACCGTTTAAACTGGTTTCTGAGTTGAGGTGTTTGCACTGTGTGTAACCTTTGTGTAACAACACTTTATAAGGCTATTATTCTCTGGTTAGCCAAGCGCCCTGTGTTCCACGTGTTTCCGTCTCTGTAATTGCAACACCTGAATTATTCCCGTGATTTTTTTCCGTAAAGGTGTCACATTGTCGCATCATACAAGCCAGTGACAAAGTTTGATTTCGAAGAGTGCACCAGACTTACGGCCGTATCGTCTACAAATCTCTTCTACTCATGTGAGTTGTTACTGGACTACTTTCAGGTTCTTTTCCCATCCTGCTTATTGTATCCCTTCAAATGTATTTTAGATCTTCTAGCAGCTGTTGGATCCGATCGTTGTTTGTACATTTTGGATATCAATCATGGTGCGTTTGTGCGAAAAATGCCTGCGATTCATATGACCACAGTTACGGGTATCGCCATAAATGAGGTAAACTGTAACTCAAGCTCTCAACCATTGCCTAAACGGAACTAAACTATTTCTTTAATATTTTTTACGAGGCACAATTATGCTATGAGGTAAAGCCATTCTTTCTTTTAATCGAACTGACTTCCAGCATTCATTCGATAATTTGTAGAAACAGACATGCAATCTTACCATTACATTGTATAACTTTTTGGTGACAAAATATATCCAATAGCATGCAGTAGAGACTTGTGACGTTGTTCCAGCGTCGTGGTATGTTTTAATAATTTGCCTGTCCCATGATATTCCAGGATCAGATTCGTCTGGCTTTCAAGACCGTCGTTTACCCCCATTTAATTCTCAGGGTTCATTGTACTCGTCTTTCGGCTCAGAGGTATCGTCTGACAATCCGGTAGCCTTTTGCAGTGGTGCAGCCAGCGCGTATAGTCTTTTTGCAACCGTTGCTCCTGGCGACAGCGTACGCCTGTGGGATCTGCGTGTGGAGAGCGGTCACGTAGCCGAATTGGCTCGATGCCACAGTGCTAACACCACCGACCAAACCCCCAGCCTCGCACGGGGAGGAGCCGTGCGCGACTCTGCCGTGCCCCCTGTCTCTCTGACTTTCTCCCCCTGTGGGCGATACGTGTGCTTCGGGGCTCTTTACTCGAGAAGCGGCGTCGATCACTTGGTTCCTACTGTGGTCGATATTCGTCAGACCTGCAACCCCGTCGCTTATCTGAGGCCCCTGCATCGCAGACTCAATGCCAGTAACCCCACCACAGTTGTGGCGTGGAGTCCAATACGGCCTGAGGTATTTCAATTACTAAAAAATCCATCGGACGAAAACTCAGTCAATAAAACCTTGCACAATATTATGGCCACCAGGACTTCTTCTGTATTTTTCTCACTTATCCTGATACGGTAGCCTCTGTTATAAGTTTTTATTTCGCCAAAGTGGCTGGTTCCAAGCGCTGCACTTACCACTTTGTCGAGAACAGTGAGAACGCCCACCCAAAGCTGTGGTGGCTTGAAAGTAGTGTTTAACCGCCCAAATGTGTATGTTGCTCTTTCAAGGTTGCCGGTTTCCACTCACTGCACACTACTTGTCCTGGCATATCCTAACTTACCGTCCACCAATGTGATTGTTTTTGGTGTTCGGAGTAGACAATGGTCAATTGTATTGTTGTATGGTTGCTCCTATCAATACAAAAACAATGACTTATTTTGAGGATCGAGTGGGACCAAAATAAGTTAAGTGGAAGCAAAGATTCGGGGTAGGATGTGAGTTTATACACTCTTTCCTCGAGTTTTGTCGCAGTTTCTATTATTAATAAAGAAAGTCTTACTACAGTAGAATTGAGTGTCGATATTTGAACACTACAAGCACTCACGCTCTTTCACATTTTTGGTCGAAAAACTACTGTCTCCATAGGTCCAATCTTTCACTGTTACCATAGAAAAAATCCGACATGTTAATTTGCCTTATTGGTTTATCAGACCTCGCAGCTAAAATTGACTAGAATGTGGTCTGTCCTTGAGGTAGAACCCAGGAGATGACTCCATTTGATGTAGTCATTTAAGTTGTGATGTAATAAGAAGTTTGTGCACTTTGATTGATTGATACGGTTTAAAGCGAAGTATAGCAATGACGGCTTAAAAATAGGGCGAAACTAATAGCCACGAATTTAGGCCTGTTCTACGATTTTTTCGGATTTTTGTAAGCATTAGATCTCAATTAAATATTCCAGTTATGGGAAGTACACATGCAGTTTTCTCGAGTTGGTTTAAACAACATTCAGCGTGCATGGTTTAGCATCCGAACGTGAGCACTAATTCTCTGATATAGCCAACGCTGTTATTCTTGGCCGACAGTTGCTCTTCCAGATCGAGTATCTAGTCTTATTGTTTGATACTGTGAATTTAACTACTGGTCCGACCATTTTGCGTAAATTGGTGCATTTTATATTCGTGATCGGCATTGGGTAGACCCACATCAAAAAACATCAACCACTCATGTAAAATGTAAGAACGATTGGGTTTATAATCACTGAAAGCATTTTGAACTGATCAAATGAAGTTTACTGCCCCCCCCCGCCCCTCGTAGATTTTCATAAACTCGGATAGCCGTGTCCATCCAACGTTCTTGTGTTTGCTCGAATCCATGGTATAAGCGCAACAAGCTGTTGAGGTGACGCGACTGCATGTGCCTCGGCGTGCTTCTTTGCCTGTGGCCCGCACAGTCGCTCGTCCTCTGTCCAGTCGCCCGGCACGGGGTCTGTGCCGCCGGTCCCCTTCTCGCACCAGGTGCTTGCTTTGCGCAACCGAAATTTTGTTTCCACGCCTCATGTGATGTGTGGTGTCACTGGTTAACCAGACCGGTGGGCTTTTTGGCCATTAGACTCTTTCGCGTATGTACCGCGACCCACCGCCAAAAGTGATGTCGCGTCATTACTTTCACCTTTTTTAATATTCAGCATTAGGCGCTGCAGCAACCAGTTTCAGAACACATTATTAATTAGTTTGTTTGCTTAAAAATTCGTTTATGATATGTTTATTTTGTTCATAGAATAAGTTAGGAAATTTTGATTTCAGATCGCCACTGGTTCTTTGGACGGACAGCTCTCTATTTTCGGTTGATTTGGTTCCTGTTAATGCCTTCAACATAAACCTCAGTGGAATGTTTACCTTTTGTATTTTCATTACTTTTATTGTAATTTATTAGGATACCACTTGATTATGGACTCTGTTGTTTCCCTACCCATTTGGGGAATAGTATTGTAGTGACGTACTAGGACGCAGATATTAGATCACACTGAGCTCAGCCAATCCTCTGTCTCTGTGCTTTTGAATGGCCTACTAGACGATCAGCATGGGCAGATGAGCACTATATGATGAGCGGCGCAACTAGCAGTGTGGACTCGGGTGGACGGTGCCTGACTGACCGTTCTGACTTGTGGTTGGCCAATAAAACTTGCTCTGTGGTACTTGTCTTCTTCGTACTAGGGCTCGAATATTCTACTGTTAGTCATTCATGGTCTTAAAAACTGGTTTGAGCTCTTCTAAACCCATGTAAAAGTCAAAGTTTACCTTGTTATAATTGAGCTAATGATTGTCATAACCGGCAGTCGAACCTGTTGACACTCCTAAAAATTAAAATACCCTTGGAAAATCCAGCTATCTAACAGGTACATTTGGAACCTGGGATGAATGCTTTGAAAATATAATGTCACTGTGTAGTTATTATTTCTCTTGGAAACTCCTCGATCTTGATAATTGAAAGCTAGTGTAATAAAAATTACATATACACTTAGGGGGTGCTTAACGTTTGTAACTGCTGACAAGTACTTCCAGCACCTGTAAAAGAACAACTTTTTTTGTAAAGTAGTCAAGGTAAGTCCTGAGTTTGGCAAAAAAAATCGAGTGATTTCACCAGCTCCGGAAGTTACATAGCCGAATCCAGGTTAAATCCCTAGTGATCAGCCGATTGACGAAACATTTGGACAAGTACGATTGCAAAAATAGGTCTGGGGGCTATAGCTTCGCGTCAAAGTCGTTTTCTATCAGGCAGAATTCTAAGGCAGTCTTACTGGAAGGTCCATTAACGTCTCTACTGTTCATGCATAGGTAAAATGAATAGCGGTGGCGTTGGAACACCACTGCCGAAACTTTACTCTGGCTATACAGAAGGTATTTTGCGGATGGTATACTGAGTTTGAAGAGAGGGTCAGAGGCCCTGAAGACTTCTGTATCAAGAATCAGTATATGACACAAAGTTGTCCATTAAATAGATGATCATCAGCACTTATATCGCATAATGAACTGCATGTTTCAAATATTTTATGAGAGCAACTGGTACCTTCAGGTAGGAACTTACTCTAGACGGGTAATATGATCTATACCGGGTTTACAGTCAAGCCCTTTTATTCAGTTAGTCTTGGCCAATAAAATGCAGAATCTAGTGAAGGAACTTTGAAGAGGTTACTCTTAGCAAATTTAGCCTCATAAGGCCCATTGAATTAACTTCAAGGCTTGGAAACACAGAATAAGGTAGACTGGACACGTATTGTGTACTAGAGTTTGCCGCTCTCAGCAGCGGTGTTTCACTGGACACCATGTACTCAGAAGAATATGATTTTTTCATGTTTAAAATATGTCCTTTGTCAGGACTAGGATTCACTGGCATCGAGGCTGCTGGGGACAATACAGAGGCCACCTGAGCCTAAGCATTGGAATTCACGATACACGCAACAGGATTGGTAGGAAGGAATCGTTTGGTGCTCCCATATTTTCTCGAATTTAACGATAATTAGCAAAACTCGACACATCTTTCTCCTCCCGGACTATGAACTGTTGGGAAATTAACTCTTTTTGCTTAGGCTTAGAACTGCCACGGCTGGTACCACACGGGCGTCCCAGCATGTGCTCGCCCTCACACCAGAGGGACGGGGTCTTATACTCGGCATCAATTCGTGATTTTTCCCATGATTTTTAAGGGTTCCACAGAACACAAGTCTGGAACAGTGAGCACCTGCTTCATTCTCTGCCACCTCAATAAGCCTTTTGCGAGTTTATAATCGTGCTGAAGGATAGAAATGCTTCTGGTCTTTAGCGAAATGGAAATGAACGTGTTGATGTGACTCGCATATTAGTAAAACCAATTGGTAGCAAATACCTGGAGGGCTAAGTTTCAAAGAGTGTTTTAGTTTTATTAACCAAAATTGATGAAAAACGGTATGCGACATCCTCAAACTCAAACACCAAAAGACGTTTTGGAAAACATGACTGAAAATTACGTCTAAAGATGAAGTGAATAATTGATTGCGTTCCTCTAAATCTCTTGATACCTCACTTCCATGAAAAGAGTAAATTTGTTCGCAAAATAGACTATATTTACATAGTTTTTAGGCTATTTTTAAAGCTTTTTGGTCATGATCCGCCACTGGTTTAAGACATTTGCTGTGACTGTGCTAATTTATGTTGGACAATGTTGACACATGTTAAAAATAAAAGCAATGTACATGAAGCAAACTGTGTCGTTGGACATACTGGGTCAGGAAATCAGTTACATTGAAGTAAATCGACCCAAAACAACTGGTGTCCCAAAAAATGAACAAATGAAAAGGTCACCTCAAAGCTTCTCAAAACCCTTCGTATAGCTTTATTTCATCTGGTTTTTTTCACCAAACTGTTCAACAATGCTGCCTGGTTCCCTGGAATCGGCTAAACAGAAATTTCCATGGTCGAAGTGAAACCAACACTTCGCCCGGTCCTACACTTCATATTCTAACGGTGGCCTCAACTCTCCATCTATCCACTGGATTTCTGTTGTAATGAGAACTTAACAGGCAGTGGAGTTCTTATTTGCAAATGCCCCATTGATTGTCATTAACTGTATTGCCTAGGTTAAATAATTACTTTTCTTTAGTGACTTTCACGTAAGCCCGGTTTCAGAAATGTTGATTGTGGATGGAATCTCCGAGATGGAAACACTTCTCCGGATAGTGAAACATTTCAGTCTTGATAAGTAACTTGCTACCTTAAAAAGTTATGATTCTGCGTGATGCTGTATTGAAAGTTGCTCTTTATCCCCAGGAACTCCCACTGACCTTTTTTTGGCCCCACAATAACTCGAAGCCATTGATCCCAGAAGCAGAAGTCAGCTAAAAGTGACAAAAGTCCAGTTGAACAAAATTAAACTTAAAAACCAGAAAATGATTAAAGTAAACATTGGTTAATAATAACACTTCTCGGCAAAATTGAAAGTGATTCATGTTTTCGCATTGTAGCAAAGGTATCAGTCAGCTCTTCTTAACAATGCATTACCCGATATCTTTCTGATAGAGCTATCACAACGTCTCATTCAATGTGTTTGGACCTATGAACAGCTCAGCAGACTAAGCCGCATTCTGCCTAGATGGCAATGGAATCGAAATAGAATTCAAAGTGTTTTAATCCCACGCCTTATCTCTAAAAAATTGACTTCATAAAGCTTGGTATGCACTACACAACAGTGAAGAATACCCAAGACCTAATAGGAAGAAGACTGGTACACAAGAACAGGCTTTATTGACCAACCACAAACCAGAACCACATGTCAGGCACCTTCCATCCGAGTCCACCACGCTGGCCACGCCACTCATTATATACTACGCATCCTTTGTGTCTGTCTCTGATTGGCTTCCTATCTTCTTCGCATGCCACTGGTTAGTAAACAAACGGAGGATTGGCTGAGGCCAGGGTAGTCCAATATGTCTGCGCACTCATACGTCGCCACTGTAGAATACCCGAGCCCTAATAGGAAAAAGACCGGTACAACAGAACAGGCTTTATTGACCAATCAGAAGCCGTAGCCACACGTCAGACGCCTTCCATCCGAGTAGGCCACGCTGGCCACGCCGCTCATTATATACTGCACCTCATCCATATCCTCCTCCGGTTGGCTGCTTACCTTCCTCGCATGCCATTGGAACACAGAGAGACACAGGATTGGCTGAGGCTAGGTGGTCCAACATATCTGCGCCCTGATCCGACGCCACACCACAGCAGCACGCATAACGTGAGCAGCGCCATGATTTCCGGCTGCGTGGGACAGTGGGGTATCGAGTAGCGTGCAAAAGGCCAAGTACCAATCATCTCACGAGTGTGCCTTTCTATTTATAGAAACCAAGCAGGAGCCTATGGACGGATACGAGCAACCAGGACCGGATATATAAGTAAATACTTACCCATTACTTATACTGGAATTCCGGACCTATCATTAGTACCAGGAAATCTGATTAACGCCCCCATCGCCTTGTTACCATATCAAGATGCTACAAAACTGGCGCCGGAGGATAAGCAGTTGTGTCTACATTCTTATCCTCTTTGTTTATGGGTTTTTTGGGTACCAATGAAGGATTTGATTTTACTGTTTCGAGTCATCGCTCGAGTTATTTTTTTGGTATGTCGATTTTGACGCAGATGACATGTGGCATCACCTTAAATGTGGGTTTTAGACCAAAACTAACACTACCACCAATCAGCAAACAAATAAATGGTTGCGTGCAGTGAAACCCGTATATATGTCAGTACAGGATGGTGAAAAAATCTGTGAGCGATCGAACCTCGCTAGCTGCTATTATTTTTATTATTATTAGACGTGTACTGTCTATTTAACTTTCGAATAATTGTAAATAAAAAATACTCAGTGATTGAAATCCTCGTGTGAATGCATTAAAGAGGAAATTTCAGTTACTTTCAATGAATTCCTGGTGAAAGCAGCACACCCGACAGAACTTAAAGGTCTGAAAATTCTGAAAAGTATAAGAATAAAAATTATTGGACCAAAATGCCTATCAGTAAATGCTTACGAGTATAGTAAGGTTCAGTTAAAACTGGGAGAATAAAAAATTCTAAATAACTGCGTTAACATTAATCAATGACATGTGTGAAATAATGTCAACTTTAAATCATTTACCGATTCCGGCACCTTCATTAATTCCATTAAATCAGTTTATCACCACACAGTGCAGATATTTTTGTATTCGATCTTGCAAAACAGGTTCAAGGCAAATAATGTAATTTGTTCTGGCATCCTTTTAATGACCTTAACACATTTAGATACTAACTGAAATCTAACATAGAGTAATCATCGGTTGTTGCCATAGGGCGTATAAAACTAGGGAAACAGAAACATAACCTACAATTTTATAACTGCGACATTACTTAAAATACGGTTGATGCTCTTAGATTTCGTTCAGCTAATCGATGTGAGCTGGACAGCTTGTATGCTTGCTTACGTGAACTTCACTCCTTAAAAGAATTAAAGCTTCCGTGGCATATTAAGCGTACATGGCTAGTCGTATTTGTTGAAGCAATTTTTTAAAATAATTTTTTATATTAGTTAAATATTGTCGATAATGTTTGCCGCTTATGCCGTTATGGTATGTTAATTGGCTGCGAATAAACGGACATGGCCGTTTAGCGTTTGGAAATTTGTGTGGCGCGCTCTTAAAGGCATTGGCTCATTTATCTACTCTGTACATACTTCTGCCCTGTAACAAGGTATTTATATATATTCCAAGTTTATATTCGATTTTTTTTCTCATACACATGGATATCTCTTCAACTCTTTAATCGGATGCATTATGTGTAATAGGCTAAGGTTGCGGGTCCCAGACCAGGTTCATAAAATCAATTATTGGTTGATGGTGTTCATCATTAATTTGATGTTGTCGGGAGGTAATTGAAGTTGTGAAACCCTTAAATTTGAGTGGCAATGTGCTAATTAGTTTAAAGTGCGTTTCAAACGTCATACTTGCCGTCGATCTAAATCGTGGCTATTTTCGACCAGTGGTGTAGGCAATTTTATAGGTGATCTTAGTTACTTATTACTGTTGACGGGGGGACATTTCCCTCATTTAAAAGGTCACTGACTGTGAATATCTTTTTTTTGAGATGACTAGCCTAAATTGCTAGTGTAATCTTCCTTAGCCTCAAATTCATTGTGACACAGGAAATGAATCTTGGATGCCAATCCTGAGTCAAGGGATCGCTTTATGTGTCGCTTTCACCATGACTAATTTGAATTACTCTAGTTGTATACTTAGTTTAAATAATTTTGACCGTCTCTGACTCAAAACCCCCGCTCATTTATATTCATTTTGGTGGCAATGAGTGTTTGTAGCACAAGTGTCCCTGTGATGTCATCCACCCACTTGTACATATTGTTATATTTGTCCAAAATAGGGCACTATTTTCACCAAGCATGTATATATTGACTATCGAGTAGCGCAACCTCCAACTCTTTCACCATGCTCTGGCTTCCAAGAATCAGCCTCCAGGCTCTAAGATGCTTTACCTATGTACCGTTTTTGACTCAGTGGTTTCATAAATGCATATGCTGTCTGTCTTAATTATTTTCATACTTTCATGTGTTTTTCTTAATCTTTGTTTGTTTAATTCCATGTAGCCAATTGGTGCACCATGCAGCCTTCTAGAACTTCTCACTGCTCTTCATCGGTGCAACCACCCCACTATGCAGCAACTTTGGCCAGTTCAGGAGATATTCTCTTTTCTTCTGCTGCAGATAGTCACCATCCACTGCCTCGTTGGCGGCACCAAAACAGTTCAGCGTTTTCCCTCGTTGATCCCGGTATTGAGCTACCCACAATAAGCGCAAATGAGGTCGAGCAGGTGTTAAGCCAGCTCCAGTCTTCCTCTTCTCAGCCGTCAACACTATCAACATCCCGCAAAACGACTGGTTGTTGGCTGTCTAAAGACGATTCCTTCACTCCTCCCCCCACGAAGCGTTCTTTTGGTGGTTCCATCGCCCCTGTGGTGACTTGTGCAAGCTACCAACCAATAACCTCGATTCAACCGCAATCACACCAGACCCGTTCATCCTCGTTAATCGCTGCCCTCCAGTTGCCACCGCTAGGAACTGGACAGAAAGCGAACTCATCTACCACCTCACCACCATTGCATGCGGCCCTTCGGAAGCAGATACTGCAGCCGTCGTCAAATCTCACCACCCTTTTAAATGCGGCCAAACAAAGGCAGGAAAATCTGACTGTGCGCTTAGCGAATCGGGCGAAGTTGACAGCAGCGGCAGCTAGAATTCCGATTCTAGCTAGCCAGCCGGCTGCAGATTCGGACGGTGTATGTTCAATCCTCTTCCTTTGGCTTTTTTTATTTTCGTTCAACGTGTGGTTTTGTACTTTTATACTCCTTCATTCATAATCTCATCTGGGACATCTTCCGTGTATACTCTGCCAAAAGCACTTTTGTGTAACTGCTTTCGTTAAACTACAGTTTGCTAGAGTGCATCATGTTTTTAGTATTTCTAGGGTTCTTAAATGCTTAATTTTTATTTTTTGCTTGTAAATGCACCTATCGTTTTGGCTAGCAATTATTCTCTGTTATTGCGACCCGCTTATCTCCCGAAGTACCTATAAAATTATAATCGAACCTAACCTATCAAAACAATATTACGTTTGTCAATGAGGATCATCTTCCGATTGTCCAGCGATGACGAACTACCAAATATTGTTTTCGTTTACGGCTTAGGCATCTCTTATCGATGTATCCCCCTGTGTGGGTCGGTGGCCGTTGTTATTCCATGATTTTGCTTGAGTACATTTTTATTCAACTTTATTCGCGCACTTTTAGTATTGGTTCCGAGCTTGAATGATCGGTTAACGAAGCCATCCTTCCAGATGTGCCTCCAAAGCCCTGACAAAATAGGGCATTTTTACTGTCTTCCACGTTACCTTTAAGCTAAAGTTATTGCCATCGAACATGCACGAGATGAGTCTCTCCCGTCGTGTCATCGGATCCATGTATCTTAAAAAATGTTTTTTTCTTTAATTTTGTCAAATCACTCATTTGATCCACTTACTTGTGGCTTCGTAATCACCTAACTAGTGTGTCATCTTCCGCTATGCAGAAAATGTGTGAATAAGCCCCACAGTTCTACTCTCTTGCAGTGGGAATTTAAAGGCTTCCTCGTCGGCAGTTCGTACGGTCGTAAATGGCTAGGTGAGAACTTGATCCACACGAAGTGCTTTTGCCAAGTTACCTGGAGCCTCGTGTTTGCAGTGGCAGGTCCTGGGTGGATGATTCGCGAAACCCCAGTCAGTTCTTTGCGTGCAGGCTTTTTATGCGCGCCCCAAAGTGGAACCACATGTGTGCGTATTGAGAGAGCCAAATAAAGACATGGGATCTGGAATGTACGTAGGTGTACACGTGCTTATAGATCACTGAGCGAGGGAGCATCACGTATACTGACAAGAATGGTTTGTATAAATATTATTTGATGTAGACTTGTGAGGAAATAGGGTTGGATACTGTTATGAAAAAGATTTTTTAACACCGCCTTCTGCGTATAATTTTTAATTAACAAGGATGGACACGGTACAAACGTCACCTTTTGTCTATTGTCTGTTGACATCAAAACTGAAAAGAAGTCCTAGTATGGTGCACCAAGGTGTATTCCAAGAGTCATTTCACTTTGCCAGGTGTCTTCAGGGCTAAATCTTTGCACCTTACACTCCTATCATTCGCTGATCTAGTAGTAAATCTTGGCGTAGGGCCATACTTATTTTTGACATTTTCTCCGCACCATGCTTTCAGAAGTTGCATTTTACTACATTTGTTTTTGTATTTACATTATCTCTCAGGACTAAACATCGCCTCCACTGTAAGTTAATTTTCACTGTTTAACAGGCCAGTGTATCGTCGTTGGAGCATCATCACACTGACAGCAATGCCAAACTTTTTTATTACACTCATTAATTGATTGCACATTGCTCCTAATATGGGTTATGGCTATGATTTCCTCTGGCTAGCACTTTTATCAACTGTAGTCAAAGTTGTGAATATTTTAAAAACGGAATCGTATTAATTTTTGCATATTTCGTTGTCCTTGGGCCTGTGTAAAAATGCTACAAGTCTTTTACTAAAAGTTTTGTTCAAAATATGAGTTCTGTTATTGCCCATGTTAGGTATTATTTGCTACATCCCGTTAAACCCCTTTGTCCCATCGTTAAATTTATATCAAGTACGATTGATTACTGCGCCAAATCCAATTAAGTTTTCACTTATCCAAGCTTTCATTAAGTAATTTGGATAAACCGATGTATTGTAGTAATCCTTCGATCTAATCTTCGCGTTATCAGTCCCAGACGAATCAGTGCTTTTTCCAAGCTTCCTTATTTCTATTTGTGGCCTTTGATTGTTTCTCGCAGCGTACAGTAAGGGTAACCTCACTCATCAGACTAATCGTTAATGTTAAGGTCTCTTCTTTGCAAATTTATCCTTCCCCTTCCATTATAGACCACACCGGCGCGCTCTGTCGTTCCCAAGTCCCCTGCTTTGGCAACACCCTCTCCCAGCGGGCATCACATCCCCAAGGATCCAAACGAACGCTTCCGATTTCTTGTAAGTTTCCTTTTCTAAAGTTGGGGGTATCATCTGAAACATTACTACTCCGTAAAGACAGTGTAGCTGATCAGGTGATTGTTCTTGTCCAATAACGTTGCATGTTTATTAATGCCAGTCGTGGATATGTTTTGTTACTGGTAGGAAGTATTTGTTATGGCTTTTCAGGCTTAAATGATAGTGTTCTAAGTCCTTAAGCTAACCGAAATCATCTCCAAGTTGCCACTCTCAATGCCTCAAATTGTAACCTCACTAGCAATCCCTAGAAACTAGAGGATGCAAGAGTTCTGGTGGTTGAGATTCATTGTAAAGTTGTTTCACAAAACAATATCAGTAATCGAACAATGGTTTATTCAGCACAACTACACACCCATTGCAACTTCATCCAAACATACTTATTTTCCGCAACATATTTCTAAAATTGCTACATTGGCCCAACAGAATCTCTGGCCTCTTGAAACCCACTATTTCTAGCATAAGCATGAACGCTAAGCCCCAAGTCATACGGAGAACAATCTCCTTTATTGTAGAACTCGGT